ATTAAGATTTCCTCTTATTTTTGTATTTTTAATGGGATATTAAACCACATACTTTAGTGTCGTTTACCTTATCGTTCATCAATTAAATTAAAATTTCTTCATTTTGCAGTAATGACGATTAATTTCAATTATTTTAATCTAGAACCGAGCGACTGACGAGAAAAATACAAGATGCCGTACAATTGACCAGTCAAATGGGTAAAAATATTAACATGGAAAAATGTCAGTGGCGTACTATTTTTTTGTAGAAAATACCACATGTTTGCAGAGACGCGGTAGAGCAATTAAATAAATTTTCTAACTAAAATATATGGTTTTATATCCCATTAACACATGCCAAAATTGAAAATTATATCTAAACTATTATATTAAAAAATATCTCTTTAAAAACAAATTTTCAACTGCCTGTAGCAAAAAATTGAAGCCGTTGCGGACATATGTTCATATGAATTTCTTCATAAAATGACCTGAGGAATCACACCCTACAATATTAGCATACCAATAGAAAACACCCTGTATAAATTGTAAAAACAGGGAAGCAATTTTGAATTTTTAAAAAGTAATTCTAGATCAGTTATCTTTGATCAGATAAAATTTTTATCAGAAACCAATTTTAGTCGAAATCTGCTGACTTTTAAAAATAAATGTTTCTTTTTAATTTCTCACCCTGTATATATCTGATCGGAAGTATAACCAAAGTATATTAACCGTTGAGTAGCGACATAAAGCGTCGGTGCCTTTGATCTTGGGTAGTGCAAATTTTCTTTCTCTCTCTTTTGACGTTTTGACGGAACGACACAGTAAAATACTGCTCGAATTATGAACTGGTCTTGAATGTGATGTTTACACTGCTCGACGTAATTTGAAGTAAAACTCTTTTGTAGTTTACATTTATAATAAAGGTTTAGTCATTAGGCAGTTTTATATTTATGAGTATTTAACTTATGTAGTAAATATAAATATATATATTACTTATAGCACATGCATTTCCTGGCATAATGAAAAACCTACAAAACCTCAAAAAATCTTAACAAAAACATAATAAAAGAGCACTTATAAATCCACAACAACGAATTCCTATATCAGCTGCCGGACTAAAGTGAAAGGGGTTGTTTACATCTTTAGAAGACGTCTCGCCTCTCTATTTCGCGTCGGCGCACTAGAATTCGGTTCCCCAGCTGTCGCTACTCAACGGTTTATATACTTTGGTATAACCGGTTTCGAGCTAAGAGGAAGCCTTACCTGCATACAAAATTTGAAGTTTTTCTTCTAAGCCGTTTTTGAGCTATTGCGCCGACAGACGGCGGACAACAGACGGCAGAAAACAGACGGCGGACAGACCAACGGAATGAAGAAAACATGTTTTTCGTAATCTATGGACCCGAAAACGAAAAAATCTAAATGTTCACGATTACAATATCGAGGGAAGTAAAAATAAAATAAGTATACTCAATCTCTTGAATGCTCCTCTACTAATTTAAAGGTGATGTATCAGTCTCCTTAGTTTTTTTTTGTATGTTGCCGGCTGGCTTTAAAGCTGTAAAGTCACACTAGGTTCTTTCGTTCGTCCCACTGGTGTAGGAATGAACTACACCAACGTACACTAAACCTTTGGTTTGGCCCGGTGTAAAACCCACTATACCTTCCTATCAGCGATGTGGTGTACACTGGTGGGAATTTTCTCCACCAGCTATTTAGCAGGAACGATTTACACTGGACATGTGTATAAGGAATAAGGAGGAAGTAAATTAAGGAAAATAAATTGATGTAACTAGTGTAATTTACACTGGTGGACACTGCACCAACAGCGAACGAAAGAACCTACTATATCGTTTGCTTGTACCATACCTTATACTCTTTCGTGCAATCGTTGTGTTTTAGATTCTAGTAAACCTTTCTAGTAAAGGGTATTTCTCATATACCCTTTATATCTACTATTGTACAATTATTGTTCAGTGTTTTATAGGTAGATAATGGTATTGCACATACGTAATTGCGTTACTTTCTAATATACCTATAAAAAACGTTAAACTGCATTTATGTATCTGCCATGGTTGCCTTTAATTTTAATTTATTATGAAATTGCAACATGATTTTTAATCTGTTTTGTGTGAGATTTTTAAATTAGGTAATGCTATTTACAGATCGAATATTAAAATATATTGTTGTTCTTACGTTTACTATACATTATTTATACAAGGTGGATCATAACGTGAGTAACTAAAGTATCTGTTGAAAATGCTTGTCGTTTACTTAATGTACACATTTATTTTGATTTTTTAGTCAAAAAATGATCGGATATTTTTAAAGGGAAAGTTTTTAAACTTTTAAAAATTTTATTAGAACACGCTCACATCTAAAACGACCATAAAAAATGTGTAAGTAAATATAATGGTCGTCCGTGTCTTAGTCGAGCGCGTACAAAATTGTCAATAAGGCGCGCTCGTCTCTGACACGGGCTTGTACGTCAAGTGGTTAAACACTATTGATCACAAAAAAGTATAACACCAATAAATATTGTCGCCCCCAAATAGTTTAAGAAACACTGATCTAAACCTATAAATGCTTTTATCTAAAAATATTGAAAATAGCAATATACGACAATTACCAATCAACAAAAAATTATCTTCTTGCTATTGTTTACTATTTATTAAACTATGAACTTCATCAATCTACCTTCCATTAGTTGAAAAAATATCATGGGCGCTGAAGTAATAAAAATAATAATGTGCTGTAAGTACAAATAATGACGTAACGAGTAGCCGGTACGCTGTTACGCCAGTATTTCTGCTTAGGGAGATAAACCACATTCACATTGATTTTCACGTTTGGAAATGTGAAAATGAAACTGAGGAATCCATTCCTACAACACCAAGGTGAAAACAAATCAAAGAAAAATTGGAAAAGCTGGAAAGAAAATGTGCCCAAGCCTCGAATCGAATCCGGATCTCACAGTTCACTCCTCCTTGAATTAGCTACACCAATGCTGCATTGGTGGCTTCAAGAAGAATTGAGAAAACTAAGAAAATGGGAGAATGTGTGTGCCGAATAAAATACGCTCATTTTAAAGGGACTCTACACGCTACGATTTTTGCGAGATTTGAACTGTATAGTCCATCGATTCAGTTCTTAACTCAACGTGAAGTGTTCGACATAACTCACATCTAGCCTCTCCTCCTTTGTTCTCTTTAGTCTAATGTGAAGATGAAGAGTAAAATGAGCTGATTAAGGGTGAGATTACAGAACGTCTGCAACTTTGCAGATCCGCAAATATGGCGGTAACTTTGCAGATCTGATAATATGGCGGACTTACAACACTAAACCCAAATCCATTACTGTGTTTAAAAACTCGATAATCTGACACCACGAACTGTATTCAATCAAAAGGAACAGAAGACTTCATGGTTATTAAAAAACAAAGTAAAAATTGACAATCTACAAGTTTGTACGATGTTCTAACCTCATTAAGGGTGGATTTGAGTTTAGTGTTGTTGGGGGTAATAAACCACAATAAATTGAGAATTTGGAGATATTTTTTGGAATACGAAAACATGATACTTGCATCTGTAAGTCCGCCATATTTGCAGATCTGCAAAGTTGCCGCCATATTTGCAGATCTGCAAAGTTGCAGACGTTCTGTAATCTCACCCTAAATCTTGCGTTTAGACCAGACTGTGCGTGTTGGCCTGCTGGTCATATCGGAGCTTGTAGGGCCTCCATAATATGAAGATGAAGTTTGAAATGAGCTGATTAAAGTTTGTCTTTAGATCAGAACTGTGCATTTTGGTTTGCAGGCCATATCGGAGCCTGCAGGGCCTCACTTATTACATCTAGCCTCTTCGTCCAGATCTGCGATCTTCCAACATGTTGACTATTTTTAACTGCATAGGACGCAGGTCATAGCGAGAACTGTACTGTGTAGAACTTTTGCTTTCTCGATGTTTACGGACTACGAAGATAATGTCATTATAAAACAAAGACAAATACTACTACCAGTTGTCTTTGTTTTATAGTCATCCAGTTGCCAAATATCTTAAAAATATAAACTTTTTCCGCTACGAGGTTAAGGAATCCATCTTCATTAACCCAAGGTCAAAACAACAATAGTTAAAAATTAAAAAAGCTGAAAAGAACTGTTTCAAATCCCGGTATCTAACCTGGATCTGCAAGTTCACTCTACGACCTTCAATTAGGCCACCGGATCACATAGCTGCGATGGTAGAATTGGCCAATTTGAATGCAGCCCTGTTGTGACCAATTCAATGTGCTGTGGTGGCCTAATTAGTAAACCTATTGAGGAGTAAATCAGGAGATCCTGGTTCTTCATTTATTTGAATAATTCGAATAGTTTCTTCGTATTACCTTTTCATTATTTTTTTCGTTGTGCATACTTAAAAGTAAAACTGTAGCCATATCTTAAATACTTTTTAGGAAAACTCTCTATACTGCACCTACGGACTTATCTTCTTCGATATTGCCGAAAGGCTGACGGAGTTTTCTTCTGTCAGATGTGAACATGAAGAGTAAAAAGAACTAATTCAATATTGCCTTCAGATCAGATTTTTGCGATTAAGCCTGCATAAAGAATTAGGAAAATATTTGAATTAATTCAATTTAAGCTTTCCAACTTTACAAGTTTTCGCTAATTATACATATTATCATTGATTTGTTGTACGTCTTGTTCAATTTTTGTTTTTAGCTAATTGTCTTCAACTAATTTTTCTTTAAAATATGTTCAGAAAAGAGAATTAAATATTACCGAAACTCTAACCAGATTTTTTCATTAATTAGTTATTAATTGCTCTGAGGAAGAATACTCAAGAGGACAATTTATTGTTTAAAATAAATTGCAACTACTAATCAAAAACTTAATATATTCAATTTGGTTTAGAACATATTGTGTATTGAAGAATGTGAAAAATCTCTATTTTAACATTATTTTAGTGATGCATTTAAAATATATCAATACCATTATTCTCGTCATCATTTGCAGACTTCAGTTATTTCTGTTGTATCTGTGTCATTGTATTTAAGTACATACTGTAGGAAACAATTGTTTTACAAGCCTGAAAATAAAATAAATAAATAAATAAATTAAGATTTTCACTGGAATATCGCAAGACATACGAGAGTGTTTGTTTATATCTATATCTAGCCTAGAAAAGGACCAGTTGTGTAAGTTTTTTTTTATTGTCAAGGCGTTGTGATTATTAGGTGCATTTTGTAGTTTCTGTAGGAATTTGTTGAGTTAAAAATGAGTGATATACAGCTTTAGGCTTACAGCATCATAAAATTTCTCAGACTTTAGACTATATACTGGATTATCTAAAAATTTTACGCCTACTTAAGGCAAAGATCTGTTGAAACTCTAAAAAAAGTTTTAAGTTTATTAGATCGACGAATAAAATTCTATATGTTATTGCTAATGTAGTTTGTATCCTTTTGAATAAAACACAATTTGTGATTTCAACTCTATTTAATTCTAGGATGACTCTGGAAATAACTTATGGCCGACCAGTGACAAGTTAGATCTATGTGACATAAGTGACAATTGACAAAAGTTACTAAGTAATATTAAACCACATAAAACAAACATAAATAGATAGATTTTAGTGATTTTAACGAATATTTGGTCATGAAAAAGGTTAGTGTTAGAAAACATAATTGGGCAATCCAACACCCTGTCAAAAATATCCAATATGGTCGATGATTGGCAAACAACACAAATATATCTGTGGCTAACAAAGTTTGTTAACCAAATATTTTCATTAGTGTTTGACTGTTTTCATTGTAAATCACGATAAATTTACAAATTGGTGAAATTTAGAACTGTTGCTGTTGATCATTGATTTGACTATTATATAAAGAATCCTACGTTACTTAATTAATTTAATTGGAACATAGGTTAAAATTTCCTTAAAATATACAAGTTGTATAAGTAATTTTAATAAACCGACTCCAAAATCGTTCAGATTCCTTCACAAATTGAGTTTGCCGATTTTCTCATATATCTCACCATCAGATCTTGACCAAATGTATATGGAGTCATTTTCAAGGTACCCCTATTCTAATATAAAAAAAATGTGATGTTTTTAACACAAGACTTTCTTATCTAGTTTTTTTCAGGCTTTTTCCGGTTATTTTGTACAACCTATTTTATCACCTCTGTAAATGTTTAGAGGATAAACTAAATATATACATTTTCCACATATATCTAACTCCAAACATTTTTGAAGTCGAAACTTCTATAGACACGTTAGACGTTTTTGGATGGGTAATATCTTCCCGGCTTGCGATACCGACATGCTAATATTAATATTATATACTATTGGGTAGGTTATTTGGACCAAAATGTGGCGATAGGGCCAAATATACCTCAATAAAATATTGCTGTGGAATAAAATTTAATATTAATAATGATGGGTGGCTCAGTGGTAGTGTATCTGCCTGTGGATCCAAGTGTCCCAGGTTCAAATACCACCGCTGGTCGGGATTTTTTTATTTAATTTAATTATTTAAAATTAATTCTTATGCCTTGGTAGGATTCCCCAATAGACCATTCACTGTTGGGTTCTAATTAACAGTGCTGTTCCTAAAGTGGCGCTGGGAGACAGTAACAAAGCCTACACAGAACACGAGCCTAATGACCTTAGTAGTCGATGCCGATGACACCAAATTAAAAAAAAATAGACTATAATCTCACATCAAAAATAATTCACTGACAAGAAATGACATGTACCAGAGATAATTATCTGACACTGTAAAGCACATTTTATAAATTAAAAATTTTTTTATCCCCATCTGAGACTCGTGAACTGTTCAATTGCGTTTTCCTCGAAAATGGGCGAAATTATCGTGTTTAAACAAGAGTACTAATTTTACGTAGAAATGATGTTTACATCATATTTTCTAATCATATTTTCTAACAAAAAGTTTCGTCAAAAAAGGTACCACCTAATTTCTTCATCAGGAATCATTCACATGGCACCCCTGTAAAAAAATGTGAAATAATACATAAGATAATATTTCTTGTCCAAAGATTATGAAGACTAGATATAAGGAGGCAAATAGGCAATGACAAAATTTCAAATTTCTGTCCTTCTTTTTATAAAGTTAGGTAAATTGACTGTAGTTGGCAGGTCGAACATCACTGACGTTCATTTTCTATGTAAGTAAATGTAAAATGAAGTGATTTTAAAAAATTGGTGAAAAGAATCAGAATAATGTGAAAAAAAGTACCTGAGTACAAGTAACATGAGTGACAAAAAACATTAAAGCAAGATTTACTTCGTTCCACATTGTAAAACAAGATACAAATCACATGTAAAACTAAAGAAAACAAGGAGAAATCAATTCAATGTCGTTTTAAAGCTTCTAATTAAGTACAATTATCTATTTATGTCTAAATATAATATTTATTGTAAACTAGTCACAACACATATTACGGAGTGTAGTTTATTTTATTATAAGTTTCTATCAAATAAAATTTTACAGTCATAGATTCTGACACAATAATTATACATTAAATTTAACTTATTAGAAAATAAAATTTGTTTTTTATAGAGTTTAATGTTAGATAAAGAGTTGCTACTGTTATTTTTTTGTTGAACCCCAATTTTGTCATTGTAAATGTTTTTTATAGGATTCTAAATGTTTAGAACGATGCAGCATTTATATCATTCCTAGGGCAGATAAAGCACTTTCTAGAGATGATGCTGTTCTATAAATTTTAGAAGATATTTTTTACTGAAATTTTTTAGCAAAATAAAAAGGGGAAAGTCGGAATTAAAGAATGTGGTAATATTATATACATTCCCAAATCTTTCTTTATGGTTCTATTATAACAATAAAAAATCTTATATAAATAAAAATTTCCTTGGTTTATTTGCTCATGTTTTTATTTTCTGTCGTTTAGCATAGCACTATATATATTTCTGAATTTTTTTTTCCATCTTTGGGTTCAGTCAAACTTTAAAAAAAACACATGGAGTTATATATTGAGAATATAATTATATTTTATATATTATCTTTGATTAATAATCAGTTTTACTTTATAAATAGGAGTAGAACCTAATTATTGTTGTTATTTGACTATAGTTATTTGGCTCTAGTTATTTGTTATTTGAAGCCGTTAATTGAAGTAGCTTTAGTACAGATATCCATTTAAGTGTATTTTATACTTAATAAAAAATTTTAAAAATAAAAGTTCCATTTTGGAATTTATAACTATGGGGACGATTACAAACAGTTTAAAAAATTTTAAAATAACAGAAACCTCATCTTTCTGTTTCAGTGTGTGAAATTAATAATATTGAATTGGTTTAACACGATAACGATAAAGTAGGGAAACAAAAAGATGAGTTTTTACAAAGTTAAAAATTACCAGTGGCGTAACAGTTAAGGATTAGATTTAAAAAATTTTTAAAATGTTTGTAATCGTCCCCATGTGTTTTTTTTTTTAATTTTGACTGCACCCGAAGAATTAAAAAAAAAATTTCGAAATATATGTTATGCAGTGCTGTGCTAAACGATATAAAATAAAAACCTGACTGAATAAACCAAGGAAATTTTTATTTATATAAAATTCTGCTACGGTCAAAAAATTTTCCTTATTCCAATAAAAAATCTGTTAACTGTGTTTTATTTTGCTCTTAACAACTATATTTAGGTATATTTCAAAAAAATTTAGACACAAAATTGTACTTACCAAATTTCACCATTTAGCAAATCTTCTCGAATTGGGTCATACCTACCTAAATTGCATTTTATATAGATAAAATTAAATAATTTATCAATTATGCCAGACTTATTTAGAAATGAATACAACAGTATAGTCTGTGCTTTATTTGGTAATAAACAAGTTTATATTTATTATTTTGACAAAATTATGTAAAATTCTTTTGGGACCGAATTTCGAGTATGCCGATTCGCCTCCCTATCTCTAGTCCTTATACCAAAGATATACATCTGTGCCGATTTTGACAATAATTCATAAATATAGAGTGACATTATCAGTAAAAAAAAAATTCAACTTTAACTTTCTGTATCATATTTCACAGCAATATTTTATTAAGGTACATTTGGTCCTATCGTCATATTTTGTTATATAAATTCCATCAAAATTTAAATCTAAATTGAATTATACTGGGGTGGTAAAATTTCTTGATATCAAAATTTAAGTGAAAATCAAAATGTCGGGGTTTTTGGGGATTTAATAAATATCATTGGAAGATTATTGATTGTCAGATGGAAGAATTTAAAAATGTCAGAAGGGATTTTCTTTAGAATAAATTATAAGAGTTGTTTAAGTTAGGAATTGATAAGAATTGTAAAAATTATTGTTGTTGAGAAGTTAAAAATAAACAAAAATATAAAGAAAGGTAATATAAATTTTATTTAAACAAAATTAAATATTAAAGACAGAATTAAACAGAGAAAATAGAGAAAAGTATACGGTAGAACAAAGCAGAGCGAAACCCACACACAGGCAGGTAGAGGTAGTACAGGTAGAGGAGGTCCAGGTAGAGGCAGGACAGACAGAGACAAGAAGAGACAAGGAGCATACAAAGGTAGAGACAAGGAAAAGGATAGAGGCGATAGAGACAAGCGGAAATTAAAGAATTTATTAAAATTTAGTATATTTTTGTAAATTTTTAGAGTCGTACCACCTCCTTTTGAGAATCTAAACAAATTTTTAAAAATATGATATAGAGAGGATTTATGTACAGGGTGGTCCATCGAAAACGTACCGCTTTTTTTAAATCTTTGGTATGAGTTTCATTTGCAAATAATGATAAATGAACCTTTGGGGCGTAAAATAAAAAGTGCATTTTACAAAGATTGATTAGTGGCGCCCCGGCACCCAAATAACAAATAACAAGTGAGTTAGTTACGAAGCGACCGTCCGCCAGGAACATCATAGTCGTGCGTTCCAGCCTACGGAAGGATTTTATTTTTATTTGATTTTGGGATTTTGACTCGATTGTGGTAGACATTTATTTATTTTAATATAAATTTGGTTTCGCGTACTAATTCCGTTCATTGTCGGCACTTCAGTGTTTTTGTGTGATTTTGTAATTATGGGAAGAATAAAACAAACGAAGAGAGTTGATAAAGAAAAACGTTTTTTTTTGTAGTGAAAAGAGACGTAGCCAAAAGAAAGCTCAAAAAAATTCATTACTCAAAAGGTGAGTTTTGTATTGATTTTTTCCAAGTTTTACAAAAAAAGGCATTAGTTTTTCAGTAAAATACTTATAATTGTATAATTTAGTAAACTTGGGGGATATAATTATTTTCGGTTTTTCAGGTCAACTAGTAATAGTTGTAAAAATAATAACCAATTCATTCCGGATGTTAGAGCTATATCCCTGATTGTTTCTGAAAGGTTTTTCATTCAATGTCTTATGAAATATCGAATTAGAATATTGAGCATAATATATGACATATACAGTGCGGATGTAAATAGTTCCCCTCCTATTATATTTTGAACGGATCAATCTTTTTCAACCAAATTTAGTACACTTCTATGGTAGGTACCATAAGTACTACTTTTTACAATCCTTGTTTTCATTATGACGTCATCCACACAAGCGTAACGTAATTTGGGAAAAATTAAATGGGAAGTGGATTATGTGATACCTCGTTTGAAAGGTATTTTAATTATGTATCCAACACTATATACATTTAAATTTTGACATTGTTTCTGTACTTTCACCTCAGCAGTTCATGCAATACTTAGTTGTGGTTAAAGTCAGCATTTAATAGCACGTCCATTTTAAACTTGAGTAGGTGGGGTGAAACTACAGAAACAAGATTAGGGATGATATAATGCCCATATCATCCCTAATGTTAAGTGGAAACGAAAAATGTATATTCTATTAGATACAGAATTAAAATTATTTTCAACCGAGGTTTCAATAGTTAATGGGTATTGGGTACATTTTTTTAAACTGCACAGGCGCGACATATGTCACGTGTCATGACATTTGCAAACTTTCATGCTATCTGCCAAATTTCATGCCATATGTCAGCTGTCATGTCATCTGTCAACAGTGTTGCCAACCATTCAGTGTTGCCAACCTGCCATCTATCAGATTTGCGACTCGGTTTGCGATACGGCTAAGCGATCCAAGATGGCAGGTTGGCAACACTGAATGGTTAGCAACACTGTTGACAGATGACATGACAGATGACATGACACGTGACATATGCCGCGTCTGCGCAGTTTAAAAAGTGTACCCAATAATTCCATTAACTACTGGTGTCACTTCCCACTTCCCTATTTAACTTTTTCCTCAAATGATGTCACACTTATGCATATGATGTTATAACAAAAATAAGTATTGTAAAAAGTAGTACTTATAGACTCATAGAAGTGTGCCGAATTTGGTTGAAAAATATCGATCCAGTCAAAAGATAAAAGGGTTGACTATTTACATGTATATTAATATATAAAGTGAAAAATAATTATAGAAATGAAATGCCCAAAAACTGCATTACAATAATGCACCCTTTGGAAGCAATCCACAAAAAAACATAACATTTTGTAAGCTTGATGAAAATTTTCAGATGCAGTTGAAAGAAACTCAACTGTTTTTATCAAGTACAAGGTCAGCTGCAAGTAACTCAACATTAATTATGTTACTTTGTAGTTTCGACTCCAATGGGAATATTAGTTGAATAAAATGAATTATCATCGAATCAGCAAATATTTATGTATAGTAATATAAATAGTTTGTATTTTTTTTTAGATTCATCGGGACGATTTATTTTGGACTAATGAAATGAAACCAAAGCTAGAAAAATTTTACTACACCTGTCTCCTACTCGAAATAATTGATGCTAGATATCCGAGGAAGATGGAAATTCGCAATCCAACACCAGAATAATTACTTTCATATGTGTAAATATCTGAATATTCGCCGTCTAAATTAAAATATAATGAAATAAAATAAAAAGCCTTCCCTCCGACCATGAGTGATATCTGTGTATCGTAGTAAATGCGCTTGAAGACAAAAAGTGTTAATCAACATGCCAGATCTCTTTCGTACAGTATTGCCAGTTTAGTACAATTGTACTAGATCTAGTACATTATTTAAGAATCTGGTACTCTAGTACACTCGAAGCAAAATCTAGTACTTTTTCGTTTTTAGCCTGTGTCTCGTACAAGTGTCCAACGGGTATTAAAAAATACAAATTCCATGCTTATAAAATTAGCTTAGTTCAAGAACTGAATGAAGACGACTTCGGTCGTTTCTTGCAATTTTACGAAATTATGAGTGAGCAAGCTTTTAACAATGATAATTTCCTATTTAATGTGTTTATTTCGGATAAGTGCTCTTTCTTCCTACATGGTTTAGTCAACGCCACAATTGCCGTTACTGGGATGACAGCAATCCAAGGATTTTCTACGAGACACACACACAACACCCCGAGTAGTTAAATGTACGGGCTGGTATTTTTGGAAATTCCATTGTAGGCCCTTTTTTCCTTCCTGGAAATTTAACAGGCAATATATACTTGGATTTACTACAAAATGCCATCGACTCAGCTCTAACAAATATCATAGAGAACGACCCCACATACAACGAACAGGAACTGATTTTCCAACAAGACTCGCTAAATGTGCGCAATTATTTAAATGACACATTTCTAGGACGATGTATAGGACGAAGGAGCGCAACTGAGTGGCCATCTCGGTCACCCTCCTTGTTCTTTAGATTTTTTCTTATGGGGACACATAAAAAGCGTAGTTTACAAAACTGCACCTGGCACATTAACGCATATCGCAAAGTGACACCGCAGTGCTCCAAAATGTATGGTTGCAAGTTGGCGGGCAGCACTTCAAGCATTTACTTGACTAATACGGTAAGCATTGAATCGCTTTTTGAATTTTTCGTCACACATTATTGTTTTAACTTTCAAAGCTCCATAATTTTCTAAACAAGTGGCTCGATTTTCCAAAACTCAGTAGCGTTGTATAGGGAATGATAAGACCCTTCTAATAAGGTATCACTTGACCCCCTTCCTCGTTGAAAAAATTTGATGGATGACACCCCTACAGGGAGGAAGGTTTTACTACGATTTTTGCGTGAAAAGGTGTCCCCTTGACAAACAAATTTGACGTGTTTTTGGATTTCGCCGAAAAGTTCTTTTCCACCCTGTAATGCCTTGCGTTACGTTTTCGATGGGCCATCCTGTGTATATATTTACTCATGTACTTACCTACTCTTTTGATGGCCTTTATAAACTTACTTGAATGTATCTTTATGACGCCGGAAAACCAATAAAAATCCAGAATATCATCACAGTACAAGCAATGATAAAATTGTTTACGACATAAACTTAACTCTTGATAAGGTTTTAAATGTTTTTTGGCCTCAACACTCAACATTAGTGTATTTGTTAGCGAATTATCAAATCAGCTAAATGCGGCATGTGGAAAAATTCATATATATATATATATATATATATATATATATATATCTAGGTATATAATCGTGTCTTTATATTTCATGATAATTTTTATCTGTAAGCATTTGGAACATTCTCAGAATATGATGTACATGCTGGGTATATGATTTTTAGTATCTTCTAAGAATGTCCTATTAAAGCAAGTGCTCAGTATATAATTTTTTAAATATACTTTTAGGGCACATGCCCAGTATATAATTTTTAGAATATACTTTTAAAGCATGCACTTAAAAGTACATGTTACGCATGTTATAAGAATATTCTAAAAAGTATATACCGTAAGAAATATAAACAACGTTCTCAGTATATTCATAGAACATTGATGTTATGTGAGATGTTTAATTCTTATAGTAATCCCCAATTTGAAAAGAAAGTAAGAAACAAAATTATGTTGCATGTCTTTATTCTAGATAGCTTACTTATGTTATTTTATTTTTGGGAATTGATTCAGTATGTGTAGATTGTATGGAATGAGTGGATGTCATTCCTTTGGATCGCACTATGAATGGTAGCGCAAAGACTTCTATATCTGTTTAATGTCTATATTGTCTTTAGTACATATATATTATTAATATTATTATTATCTACAGAAAAAAGTACAAACCGCCATAAACATTTTGAGATCAATCATAACAAATCCACCTGCTGTGATTGTTAACGGCTTCTGATTTCGAATCATTATTGGCAAAACATCTTTAGCATATTTGGGATATTCATACCAGTTACTTAGATAAATACTCTTAGTTACCTTAGCAGCCTTAAAAAAATTTAATTCACTATTAATTTTATACTTTTCCTCTATATAAATATGGTCGCATTCGGCCATGAATTTAAGTTTTTACCTCATCCATTAGGAGTTGGGCAGGTATCGAATAACAGAGGAATATTTCGTTTAAACCAGACATTGTGTGAACTATTGCTTCAATTTGTAAATTCAGATTTGCATTGCTAAAAACGATATGAATATGAACAGTCTTGCTATAATTTTCTTTAGTAACTAGGTAATTAATTAAAAAACCTTACCCAGATAATACAAGATATACACTCAAGCACATAGATACAATTATATTTCCAATATATAACAAAAATGTTAATGAAAAGGTTGTCTTGAAACGTTCTATAAAGCTAAAAATAAATAAAATATATTATTAGTAGGTATTCCTATATTAGTATCAAGCTCGTGTTTTAATAGCCATTACATGAGAGTTGCATACACTATTTTTTCTACGAACAAGAAACTATTTCAGTTCAACAACATGGCTTTATTTTTTTATTACTTTTTTATGCAAACAATAAGAAATAAAATATAAAACAAAAATAAGTTCTTCGACTTAATTTTTATTTTTACACAATAACCAATATAATAACTTTGATGACACATTTTGTGCCTTTTCAGCGATTTCAGGTGGTGTGCATAAAAATTCTTCGTCGCTCGTCATTTTTTTAAAAATAAGTGAGAGGTACCTATCTACCTTTTTGACTAACGCAAAAGATTGAATAAGTTTGTTACAGATACTTAAATCCTTTTCTCAGTATATTATCTGAATTTATACGAATCTTGTTCATTTTTACCAGTGTAACAAACGGCAAAAACGCCAACTGTCACCGAGTGCACTTTAAATTTTGACCACCCCTACCCCGGTGAATGACATTTTGGTGTTTCAACTGTTTTTAAAATATGGCACCAATAACAGCATAGTATGTAAAAAATCTACTAGATGTCGGTAGAAGATGAAGTACCTCAAATGAAAACAAATTGATTGCGAACTGTCAGAAAAATTCAGTTAATTTTATCTTAATCGAGTAAAAAATACGTCTATCTCCAATTTTTTTTAAATAATGGTAATTTATTAATGTCTACTATACTCTGTTTTTAAACTAGGAGGAGCGAATTTAAAAAGACGCATTTACACAGGGAAAAGTAACTAGATTTGTTACTAAGAGCGAGTTTCGAAATATAGTCGTGTTCAAAATTTATGAAATAATTATCTTTATCGGCCTTAGTCGGCGAACGGCCAATGAGCGGTTAAGAAACGAATAAATGCCATAGAAGTAATTTTTTAATTGGTCCCAGACAACGGTCGCAAATTTCACATTATTGTGATGTGAAATGTTTGTCTAAAACGAAATGTCACTGTCAAATTAAAGTCAATATGGTTGTTGATTGATGTCAGAAATACTTTTTTCTTACTTTTGAAATCAACTTTTTGAGAATAACTATGATCTTTTTTAAATGGATATTAAATATTTAAGAAAATTGTTAATGGAATATCCAGATGTAGCCAGGTTAGTATAAAATATAAAGATCTGTTTACATTTTTAAGGATAATTTGTTATAGGTATAAAAAGTAAAAGTTAATCAGTGAATGACAAGTGGATCACACAGTAACTGGTATCTCTTCTATGAGTAATGTGGATAATATGGCTTATTTAGTGTTAACCCATGGTTAATGCGCTAGAGGGCAAATAAAGGCATTCAAAAGTTTACAGGCCTATGAGTCAGAATTTGTTTTGAAAACTGGAACCAACATTTTCATAACACTACATGTCAACATATATTTTTTAAAGTGAACTATTCATACATACCTATGTATTAATTTTAAGTATTTTTAAAATATTTTTTGTGAAAGTAATGTTAACTCATTGTGCCAAATTAAGATTATCCCTAAAGTAGTAGATGGTGTTTTAAATGTTATAACAATTTTGTAAATAGTTTTATTATATTCTAATAAATAAAATTTGCTTAAATAGTTAGTTACATTTTAATCATTTTGGTTAGAAATTCATCAATTTTTAGTTTTAAAAAATCAGTAATAAAATTATTTTTTTCTAAAATACTTCGGAATTCATCTCTTCATGGTAATCTCCCATCTTTTTACCTTCAAAAACCAATAATGCATTTTCTACAAAACCTTCAGAATCAGCATGTAAAATAATAAGGTGTCTTCCCTTTCTTGTAAGGCTTTTCAGGAATTGCTACCTTTAATAGTACTCAGTGTAGAAGGATCCATAATTGTAGATTTTCAATACAATTGCTTACTGAAGAACTATTATTTACGAAATAAAGTAAAAAACTAAGTAATGGATGAGATATCAAATTATAAAATGTCAGAACTGTCAGAACTGTCAGAACTGTCAACAATATCAATTATTAGCTGATGTTCATGATAAAAAGTAATGTGTGAAACTGACTGTAATCTGACCAATCAGAAGGCTACAGAATTTCCAACTTAAATTCAAATCGCTCCTCTTAGTTTAAAAACAGAGTATAATAATATTCTATATTACAAACGATATGGAAAGTGAAAATGAGAAGAAAAAAAAACGATACCCCATAGCACCCATATATTTCATCAAAACAAAGTGAGAACATTACTATTTTTCATCATTTTTAGTGTACAAGACAGCAATAATTAAATAATAAAAATAGTGTTTATTCTTTCCTACAAAATTGTAAATATTGTTGAAATGGGTTTTGAAAAAATAAGTGTTAAGTGCCATTTTGATGTTATGTTTACAGAAGAGTAGGTATAAAATGATAACTGCCACATTTTAGATAATTAATAAACACATTCCAAAGATACATGCTTATTTTGTTACCAGTTCTAAACAATTTCACATAGAGGGATCTTCTAATTGTAATAAAATGTGATTCTTACATGGCAAATTGATGAAAAGGGTAGGTACAAAAATGATCTGTAAACCTTAATTACCTATATAAATAAGAGTTGTAATAAACTTTTTATTAAATATAAACGCAGAGGATTGTTTTCAATAGATTCATTAACTTATACAACTTTAATTATTTACAAAATAAATCAAAGGTTTGAAGGTGTAACTACACACAGATTGATAAAGAAAAACGAAGGAAAGGTAGGTATTTTTAAGTGTGGAAATTTTATTAGTATACGCCAAGAGCTTGCATTATAAATGTAAAAAAAGAACAAATTATCAATCATTCCATTCTTTTTTACATTTATAATATACGGATGAAGTCTTAACAGTCGAACTGCTAATTCTAATAAAATGTACACATATACACATGTAAAAAATTGAAAATGCCTTTATTCGTTTCTTTTCTTTATCTACAAAATAATATAAAAGCTTATGACAGCAATTACTATCGTCTTTATTATTTTATTTCTACTTTGTCCAATTCAACTTTTGATATATCTAAATTAAAATTTGACAGGTACTTCATTCATATCTAAAACCAACAATAACTAGACTAGATAATAACTAGACCACAACAATGATGAAAAAAGCATTACTTTAAACTAACTTTAATAAATAATATTGCAAAATTATTAGAGTTATAAATAATTTACAATTATATTTGTTCGTAAATATAGTATATGTTATGCTGCGTGAACATTAGAATAGTAACCTGTCAAATGATTGACCAATCATCTGATGGCCCAATCTTGAAGTTGGATACAAATTGATGTTAAAATATACTTTATCTCGCTCTTAATGATCAATATATGATCGAGTCGGGTACCTCACCTTTTAACGACCTCTGGTGAATTTTTTGGAACTACGTTGTGTTTGGTGCCATATCGTCTTTTGTTTTTATAAGGGATTTTAGGGAAGTTGAAAGACCTATTGTCTTTCATCGTGGCCCCTACATCAAAGTACCGACGCAAGCCTTCGCTTCTGTAATAGGTAGGTTATTCTGTGCACGAGTTTGTAATTTGCAACGTTGCCACATTGAAATTTTATTTTGTCTAATAATTATTGGTATTTAAAAAATTGTGGGTAAACATTGGAAAGACGCCCTTTTCAAATTTACAACAAGAAAATCCATAAATTAACATTTTTTTTTAAATATTATGGAATTATGAGAAACATTTATGTAAACTTATTCTATGGAGTTAGAATTATATATCTTATGCTTCGACATTACAACTGTGCGGTGTTGCCAAGTGTCCAATTAAAATTAACGAAAAAGAAATAATATAAAAAATTATCCTATTTTTGGCATATTTCCAAACACTTTAAAACACATTAATTAGATTAAATGTATTTCATTGTTCTTCCTAAAAAAACTTCCTAACTTCTAATTTCCAGTCACATCCAACGATTTTTTTATCCGTTTTGATTGAATAATTAAATATTGGATCATCTATACCTCAGAGTAAGTAAGTAGTAAAGAGAGGACAGTAAATAATGTTTGTGTCGCCATGATATGGTCGAGAATTCTAATTAGAGAGAAATAGATTAATATCTCTATCTCTTTGTTTGTATTTATCAGTTTTACAAAGCTTTTTTGTTCGTGTTGTGGTGTTAAAAGTAATTGTTATTAATATTATATTTATAACAAAAAAGTCATATTTTGTTTTCACTTCATTAAAAATGCACCTACCTACCTTTTAAAACATTTTATTTTATATTCTATTTGGTCAACATTTTCGCATTTAAAATGACCCAGCGAAATTGTTTTACGATACGCTACTGCTGAGAATTCTAAAACGAGTGAGAAAGCCTTCATTAGAAAGAGAGATACTGATTATATGATAGCGAGATTAATATTGTATAAATTTATGCAGTGGTGGCCTATCTGCTATTATATTATCTAAGATCTATACAGTAATAAACAATGTACTTTTCGAAAACTTTTAAACACAGTTACTTTGTGTTATTCAACTTTTTTGAAATATGGGAATTTATTTATTGAAAAAATAACGCCAGCCAACCAAATTCAACGACTACTATCAACTAAAGAGGCTGGCCGAATTAGTTTAACATCTGCTGGGTTAGCTGTGACGTCACTCGAAGGATACTTTCAGCTGCATCCCTTTTAAAACGTACATCGATACGCCCTATTTTGTAATTACTTTAATATTTGTTATCTTTAAAATAAAAAATATTTTAGATATTTAAAAGGTCATTTCACCCACACAGATAAAAAAACACATCTGAAAATTATAGAATGCAGCTAGAAGTACCCACCGAGTGAAATCACGGCTAACCCAGCGGAAATTAAACTAATTCAGCTATCCTCTTTAGTTGATAGAAGTCGTTGGTAGACGTCATTTTTCATACAAATAAACTTCCATGTTTCAAAAAAGTTTAAAAAGTTTTAAATAACAAAGTAATTAGGTTTAAAATGTTTCGAAAATAAATTATTTATTACTGTATAGATGATATGATATTAATATTTAATTATTACATACTACAATTCAATAAAAATGGATAAATAAATAGTCGGATGTGACTGGAAATTAGAAGTTACAAAAGATTTTTAGAAAGAGTAATGACAAATTAATAGAAGTAGTGTACTTTTTTATAATACTTTTTCGTTGATATTAATTGGGCAACATCGCGCATTTGTAGAGATAAGATGCAGTATGACAGACATAAGTCTAAAGAATAAGTTTACATAAATGATTCTTATAAGTCCTTAATGTATAAAAAGAAAGTTTTCGGTGGTACTCTCCTTCCTAAAGCCTAAAATGTAACTTTTGTAAAAAAATGGATTTTTAAGAAAAGGGCATCTTCGTTCGACAGATTGCAATTCCTATGTCTTTCTTTATTGTAACGTGTCGAAATCGCACATAAAACACGAAATATTACATATAAAAAGTAATTAAACGTCAAATTAAAATTTTCTATGATTACCGCGTTAAGTAGTAATCAACTAAATTGAATTTTAAGATGGAATTAAATAACATTATGGATGTGATGATTTATAACAAGTCTGATGAAGAATTATTGTTATGTTTACAAGAAAAGAATTTGATAAAAAGTCCATTTAGATGCAGGCAAAGAAATTGCAACGATGCAAAAAATGCTGTGAACATTTTTTGTACACGATGTAAAAATAGTATTCTAGTTTAAGTGGTTCATTTTTTGAACAAATGAGACTACCAGTGTGACTATAAGGATACAGACAAGCAAGGTAACATAACCCAAAATAATTCTAAATTGTCAATAAATTCATAAATAACTTTGCAGTTTATCGTAAAAAATGAACTATAAGAGGTCGTTGACCTATGAAGAGTTATTACAGCTGGTTGAAAAACATTCTATATCGAAGACCTGAGTGGTGAAGAAGAAGTTGCCGGAATAGATGAATATTCTGAGCCTGAGTCAGTATCTGATGACGATGGTATTGATGATGAACGTATGTATTTTCGAATTTATAGTGAGTACAGTATGAATAATTTTTTTATAAAAAATTAGATTCCGAAGAAGAGGTGGTGGAAAGCACTAAAATGTCTACCAAACCTCAGCCTGGACCAAGTACAAGCTCAACTTCCACTGATAAAAAAGAGACAAAAAAGGACTTCATTGCAAGAATTGCGGTAACCCCTGAAGAAAACATTGGCTGGAGAACAGGAGTCAAATTTATAACTTCAGTCATCAGGTGGTTTCAACGAAAAGCAGAAGATGTTGTTGAGTTACAGAGTCCAATGGTTTTTTTTACTAAATATTTTAGTGACCAGTTGTTTGAGGAGATGGCTAAATATACCAAACTATATGCTGCACAACAGCTCCAAAGATTTACTCCCACAGACATACAGGAGATGAAAACTATGGTTGGTATTCATATTAATATGGGAAATTTGCATTATCCAAGGATTCGATGTTACTGGAGCACAAAGCACTCCATACGAATTCCAATTATAGCTGATAATATGTCACTGAATCGGTTTTTCAAATTGAGGCAAAGCCTTCATTTTGTCGACACCAATGCCAAAGAAGAAGGCCAAACTGATCGTTTTTGGAAAGTAAGGCCATTATATAATCGAATAAGAGCTACATGCCTTTCCCTTCCCTTGGAGAAGGAGCTCTGCGTAGACGAGCAAATGGTTCCATTCAATGGACGTTTGAATGTAAAACAATACTTCAAAAATAAACCCAATCCTTGGGGTATTAAAATATTTGCCCTTTGTGGAAGAAGTGGTATTTTATTTGACTTTATTATATACCAAGGCACTACAACAGAGCTTGATGAAATGGAAAAGGAAGTTTTTGGCTTAGCTGCAGCAGTAGTTTCAAAATTAAGTCAAAGAATTACTGAAAAAAATGTGCCGCTTTTTTTTGACACCTCAGAAACAAAGGAATTTATGCTACTTGTACAGCAAGAGTGGATAGATTTAAGCATCCTCCATTCCAGGATGATAAAGTTAGGAAAAAAAAGGGGGAGAGGTGAAATGGAAGCGCTTATTTCACAAGATGGTGAGGTGATAATGACAAAGTTGTTTAACAATAAACCACTTCACATGGCGTCAACATTTATGGGCATTGGCGACGCCGATAAATGTAAGCGATGGGACAAAAATAAGAAAGAGTACGTTTACGTTTCGCGACCAGAAGTAGTTAAAGTCTATAATGCTTGCATGGGGGGTGTAGATAAAATGGATTTTCTAATACAAATATATAGGACTTTCATAAGGTCTAAAAAATGGACATTACGCTTATTCACTCATGCGTTGGACATAGCTTGTACGAATGCCTGGCTAGAGTACAAAGAGAAAGCGATTCAATTGGGGATACCAAAAAGAGATGTATTAGATCTTCTTCACTTCAGGGCTTATATAGCTGAAGCGCTTATATCAGCCGACAAAACCACTTCTCGCAAACGAGGCAGGCCATCTCGTGAATTAACACCCACAGTACCTACATTTTCAAGGGGGACTCAGGAAGTGCGTCCAATACGGGAAGTGCAGTATGATGGACAGAACCATTGGCCAATCCACGAAGATAAAAAGTCTGCGATGAGGTGCAAAAATCCAGGGTGCAAAAAACAGTCACATATTTTGTGCAACAAATGTAAAGTACATTTATGTTTAAATAAGAGTTCTAATTGTTTTATAAGTTTCCATAATTCCTAGGGTTATTAAAATTTAATTTCAATTTTCACTGTTTTATTACCGTTTAGTCACGATGTCGTCAATTGACGACGTATTGCCACCCCTGAACGAGGGTAGATAACCCTTTATGGATTATGTCAAAAAATTGCAAAAAAAATTAGCTTCCCACTAGTAAAGTTTTAGATTTTTTACTCCAACCAATTAAAATAGTGACCGAAAGAATGTACAGATTACATAGCTTTTCAATTGTTGTTTCTCCAAGATAAGTGTTTTTGGTCCTAAAAAAACTATGTTCAATATACCCTAAAACTTAAAAGGAAAAGGTCTATTGCCATCCATTTTATATAAAGATTATTAAAATAGTGTATTAACTTACTCAATCAAAAAATTTTGATGTTTCACACACTCTATAAGCCGCGTATACACGTCAATCTTATTTGCTTTTTGAGTATCTTCAAATGTGAAAACATCTCTCAACTTCTTATTCAACATCATAAATTGTAGTTTAAGCAAAATTAGCAGCGTTTGAACCATAACATCAAAGCCAATAAATGTAAGTAAAATTACACAACAGGAGTAGTCTTGGTAGATCACAAACCAAAGTTTTGGAAACCAATCCAGCTCATAGCACTAAAAATATACTCATTTTATTTTTGCTTTTTAGTCATACTTATCTTAAAGCACTTATAATCGATCCAAGATTTCTTTTTTCTTAAAATTAATAGATGATACATGCAATAAAGGGGACCATCGATATGATCTGTTTTTAATAAATTTGTTAATGGGTATTAATTTAAGGGTAGTTCTCTTTTCGTCATGGTAAGTGCGTTGCTTTTAAAATATTTTTAGGCACTTCTAAAACTCTCAAATGCATATTATTTCGAGAGTAATTGGGATATAAAGTTCACAATTTAGAGTTTCAGTTTTTTATGTTTAATATTTTCTATATTATTATAAGTGATTTTCCAGAAAGTAAACCAACCCTGAATTTGAGATATATGATTTTTTTTGATAATAGTTTAAGATATCTCAGTTCAATAAGTTTTCCTAATATTACGCTGTTAAATATATCTCAATATTTCTGTACAAATAAGATTAATTAATTTCAATAAAACCGTGTTTTTAAGTTATTGAATTGTGACAAGCTATAATTTGAAATACAAATTATAAACTCCTTAAAGAAGAAACAAAGGGTGATATAAATCAAAATATTGGTTTAAACTTATCCCCTTATCAGTCTGAATTAGTCTGTCGACGGGTAGGGATGTTTGTGTGGTTTTCAATTTTCGCCAAAAAAATAAAAAAGGATATGCTGGAACGTATTACCCGAGGCAATGAAGCACTAAAAATGCCAAAAGTTCGGAATTTTTTAGACTAAGACGGATGGGAATGCGGTTTTCTGTATTCGCTTCCAAACATTTTTTTGGAAAAAATTCCCATACATTTTATCTTATACGAACTGAAAATTGCAGTGCTGCAGCCAAAAATGCATTCAAAAAATGCATTTTTTGAGACGGCTTTTGGAAGATTAAAGAACTTTGTAAATAAGAGTCAGAACTGGCCCAAATCGAGTTCTCTGGAGTTTTCGAGGTCGCTGATCACGATTATGATGTTCAAATTGACCCACAGCCGACTTAGAGCTCAGGAACACCGATGAACGTCAACTCTGTGGGACTCTCCCCGAAATTCACGCGGAGAAGGAGAGAAACTAGGCGCCCGGAGGTTTTTGAGTCGCTGAATTCAAATATGGCATCGGCGAACATCCCCCGGACACCTGGTGTGCCGGAACCTAGACGTGGACGTCATCTCCGAGAATTTTCCTGGCAAGATCGCAAAAACAACCCGAAAATCATTGTGGAGGCGGTTAATGGGACACTGAATCCAAATTTCACGTCGAAAACGATCCCCTGAACACCTGGTGCACCGGAACCTGGACGCGGACCTCATTTCCGTGGGGTTTCCTCACACAATCCAAGAAGACGAACCTAAAATCGTTATGGGGGATTTTTTGGGGCGCTGAATCCAAATTTCCTATCGAAAACGATCGCTCCAACACCTGGTACACCGAAACCTGCCCCTGAACATCATCTCCGTAGGACTCTTTCAAAATTCACGCGGGGAAGGAGAGAAACTCGGCGCCCGAGTTTTTTTTTGGGTTGCTGAATTCAAATGTGGCATCGTCAAACACCTTCCGGATACCTGATGCGCCCGAACCTGAACGTTGGTGGGCGAGACCTGGACTGAGAAGAAAGTTTCTGTGTATACTTACACAAAAGCGTTTCGAGCGTTGGGAGAAAAGTGAAAGGCTGCTCGGCAAAGTTCTGAGATCTAGCCGGAGATTATTATCGTAATTCTCCTCGCTCTATTCAAACCTGGCATTTACAATTTTACAGGATTGGATCAACTTTTTCGAGGATCCCAGACGAGAGTTACACATCAATGAATGTGAGAAATTATGAGACGATTTGGTTAGTCTTCTGCGATTGTGTCTAGAAAACTCTCGGAGATGACGTTCAGCCCGAGGTTCACCAGGTGTTGGGAGGGTCGTTTTTAACGATAAATTCGGATTCAGCTCCCCAAAAAACTCCCATAACGATTTTGGGTTCGTCTTTTTCGATTGTGTGAGGAAAACCCTCGGAGACGAAGCTCAGGGCTAGATTCCGGTGCACTAGGAGTTCGGGGATCGTATTCGACGTGAAAAATTGATTAAGTGCTTAAAATAACGCCCCTACAATTTTTTCAGGTTGTTTTTGGCGATTTTGTCAGGAACATTCTCAGGGATGACGTCTACGTCCAGGTGTGGGCGCACCAGGTGTCCGAGGGTGTTCGTCAATGCCACATTTGACTTCAACGCCCCAAAAAAACACCTATAACGATTTTCGGTTAGTCTTTTTCGATTGTGTGAGAAAAACTCACGAAGATGAAGTCCGCGTCCAGGTTCCGGTGCACTAGTTGTTCAGGGAGTTGTTTTCGTCGTGAAATTTGGATTCTGCGCCCCAATAAATGTCCCCACAATGATTTTCGGGTTGTTTTTGATCATCCAGGTTCTGGCACACCAACAGCCGTATGCATAGTCGATCGCCAGCGACTCGCCAGAGATTCATTTCGGCGTATCGCCAGCGATTCGCTGGCGATCCGCCGGCGAAAGCCCAAAAAGGTGGCGAATCGCCGGAGATTGTCACCGGAATGTCATTTCACGCAAGTTTTCATTTTGTTTTATAGGGATTATCACCGGTATCTCTCGCATTGTATCCATGATTCATTTCTTAAAACTCAAAAAATAATGAACCAATATCAAATTTTTCCCTATAAAAGAACATGAAAACTTGCGTGAAATGACATTCCGGTGACAATCTCCGGCGAGCCGCCAGCTTTTTGGGCTTTCGCCGGCGAATCGCCGGCGAATCGCCGGCGAGTCGCTGGCGATCGACTATGCATACGGCTGCAAGTATTTGGGGGGAGTTCGCCGATGCCATATTTGAATTCAGCGACCCAAAAAACCCTCGGGCGCCTAGTTTTTCTCCTTCCCCGCGTGAATTTTGGAAGAGTCCCACAGAAATGACGTTCTTCGGCGTTCCTAAGCCTCAGATCGGCTGTGGGTTAACTTGAACATCATAATCGTGATCAGCGACCTCGAAAACCCCATAGAACCCGATTTGAGCCAGTTCTGACTCTTATTTACAAAGTTCTTTAATCTTCCAAAAGCCGCCTCAAAAAATGCATTTTTTGAATGCATTTTTGGCTGCAGCAATGCAATTTCCGGTTTGTAGAAAAAATTTTGGAAGCAAATGCAAAAATCGCATTCTCATCCATCTTAGTCTAAAAAATTCCGAACTTTTTGCTTCAATGCTTCGACTAATTCCAGCACACCATCATAATTATTTATTAAAGAAATATATTTTTTAAAAGTGCCAAAAAGTAGAACATGAAGATAGTAAGTAATTTTTTTCAATAACGACACTAATTTTTGACGTTTATTATACTCTTCACACAGTAGTCTGTGAAGAGTATTATGCAATCGCTTCCGTTTGTCCGTCCAAAGTCAAGTTTTTTGTCAAAAACGAAAAACGATATTAATTTAAAAATTTTAGGAAAATCAAGCTCTATAAGCGGATAAAGCATATTGATTTTGAAGAAAATCTAAATAAAAATGGGAAGTTAAGAGTTTAAAATATTTAAAAAATCCTAACTCAGATACAAAAAACGATATCAAATTGAAATCTTAAGGAAACTCAAGCTTTATAAGGTAATAAAGCCTATTGATTCTAAAAAAATGTGAATAAAAATGAGGGACTAAAGGGGTTTAAAATATTTAAAAAAAATTTTACTCAAAAACAAAAAATACCAGCAACATGAAATTTTTAGCAAAAATCAAGCTCTATAAGGGGACAAAAACAATTAATTAAAAAAAAATTGTGAATAAAATGGGTTAAGGGGGACTGAAAAAAAAAATAGAAATCAAATACAAAAAACACCAAATTTTTAATAAAAATGAAGCTCTATAAAGGAATAAAATCTGAATCAAAGTTGAGGGATTCGGGGGGTTGAAATATTGATAAAATCTTAACTCAGAAATAAAAAAAAGATATCAAATTGAAATCTTCATGAAAACGGGATGGAGTGTATTCATTCTGAAAAAAATTTAATAGGGGTGGTCTGTTAAACTGCAAAGAGTATAATATAAAATGCCAAGCATTATATATCTTCATTTTAGTGTTTATTTAATAATAAACCTTTTTGGTGGCATTTAGTTTACTGTTAACATTAAAGGTAGAAACGCACTAGGCAGTCGCGGTCCCGTCGCATCGCAGTCTGTGCTAGTCTCGAGTGCGCTCGGTGAAGTCGTTTCTCATATTTTATAACGCATGTATTTTCACTTGGTGTTCTCAAGCTGTGCTCGCTCGAATCGCGTTCCCCACTTATCTTTTACAAAGAATCTCGGGAGACCACAAGCGAACGACTGCCCGCGATACGACGAGATCGCGACTGCCTATTGCGTTTCCAACTTAATAGTTTATTCTCGTATTTTTACTTGTTTTCTTCAAAGTAATATTCGAAAGGCAACTTATAAAGTAAATAAAAAAGATAATAAACATAATTTTCAAATCATTTAATACTATAGTGCGAGACATACTGAGAATGCAGTATTAAGTCGTTGCCAGGATGCTAGGATCGGCCAAAAAAAAGGTCCGGTCTCAGGCAAATTTCGACAGAGGTTTGAATTTTGTCTCAAAATTTGTATGTTTAATAATAAATACTAAACAATGAAGTTTAAAATTACAAATTTATAAGTCAACAAATAATAAACAAATTTTACACAATAGATAAGTCATTGTGTTTGGTTCTCCTCTATTTAGAAATAGACCTGTATTGAATAGACTAATTCAAGAACAAAATTCTTCATTTTGTTCGAAACTCAAACTGAAGCCTGAAAACACTGCAAATTTTGTACCCGTTAACTTCTTTACTTCGAATGGAATTTTGTTCTACGACGAAAAAACTTGTTTAGTGCAATCAATATGCGGAGACTTGCTTGCTTGCTTTCACATACATGCAATTCCTCATCAGTTTCAATAAATGGGACTTCTATCTCCAATTCTGAACCTTGTTCTCTGTCGGGTGTGTCAATT